ACCTCTTTGTGGTATCGTTGCACCATATAGGTATAATCTCTGCTGAGCAAAAGCTTTTGATTAAACTAGTGTTGAAAAATGGATTTTTTGTTCTCTGTCCTTAGTTGGCAAGATATGGTACATGGGTAAGATGTGATGAATATGGTTTTGCACTTTGAGGTGCATATGATTGGGCTACATATTAAAGAACTCCTATTGCAAGTATGTATTATTTTCAATTCATAGAGGTCACTAGATTATTTAGATTTCATGCTGATAGCAGTTTAGATAAGCCCTTGATTGTCTCTGTAGTGTTCACCGACTCTTTGCGTTTCTTTCCAAACAGGTAAAAGTTTTTTTTTACCTGTTTTTTTGCTGCTTCTGAAAGTAGTAGGGCACTTCGTTATTTGCGGCTTCCAAGCAAGAAAACAGACCTCTGTTTCTGGCTGTGTGACCTCTGCCAAAAACTTAGTTACTTATAAATGGTGTGTGTTGATTTGGGAGAGGGCCTAGTCCTTTATCAGAAGATTCTTCCTGCCTGTTTGGGTTGCTGTTGCTGTGATAACTTTTTGTTTGCTTTATCTTTCTTTACTACTTCTTTAGTATGTTTCCTTATGGATATAATTTCATGAGATGAGCTTGGGTCATGTGTGAGTTTTAGACTGTGAAGATATGCATGCCCTAGTTTCCTGCTAAAATAAGGAGGAACCTGCTCTTTTGTGTTTGTGTGATTTTTGATGTGGTTGGTATTCCTTTGAAAACATGCTGCTTTGATAGTTTTATACTTCTTTGTTATACTTACCCTTTCAATTTAGAGACCAGACCTTTAGGGTTTTGGATTTCATGCATATGCTTATGCATTGCTGCATCAAGCCCATCAAGTCATTCTCTTTTATTTTTGCATGGACCTTACATGAATGAGAGAAACTTCCTTCAGTAAGACAAAAATATGAATATCGTATTTCTTTTTAAGGGCAAGAACTCATAATTTGAAAGGGACAAACACAACATTGGAAAATACTCATACAAGAATTCCCATTTGAAAGCAGCTGCATCTGATTTTTCTTTCTTTTCATCTTTCATGCATAGGACTCACTAGAAAGCCTAGCATAGGGCTCCGTTTCCTATTAACTGAGTAATAAGCCTTGTGTATACAGTCTCCAAAGCCTTTATCTTTATTTACTGAACATTTTGTAATTTATAAGTGAAGTGTAATCTCTCAGCTTTGTAGACTGATATTTGATATGGCAATATTGAATGAAACCTGCAAAAGTGATTGGGAAAAGTAGGGGCATAAGGAGGCTGAAGTGGGAATCCTGACACTCAGAAATGTAGACCTCCTAATTTATGAAGCAAGGGATTCCTACATGCTTCTGTATCAAAAAGTTCTTCAGCATTGCTGATTTCTATGTAAATAGAGTTTTATAAATGAGGAACCCCTCAAATTCCAACACACACACACCCCCAGGCCTTATGTAGCAAAATGTAATTCTTTGTGTGATTACTCTTCTGACCTCTTGGTTATCTTGCCTGTGACTACTGCTTACTGTTATAACAGTTTGGTTAAGGACAGGAGAAAGACCATGTTTTATAGCAGTATTACCATCACTCAGGGCATTCTACAGTAGTAATCAAGTTGTGGAAATGTTAAGAGGAAATAAAGTACTACTATTTTTTAGTTTAGGTAGCATAAAGAAGATAGGATAAATAAAACAATAATTATTTTAAAAGAGGTATTATTCTAGTTTACTAAAAGCAATAAATGCATAACTCCTGCTGCTGAGATTGGCATGTATACAGAGCACGAGAAAAAATTGCTAATGTTTTCTTTCTTGCCATCCAGCAGTTTCTTTTGGAATGAACCCTTTCTGTTCTTGGCACGTAAAATAACTGTGAAATAAGTTGAGATTTATGAAGAAAGGTATAGTGAAATATAGTCTGGAAAAAATGAGTGTGAAGTTTGTCTAGGGATAATTCTGGAAAACTAATACATTAATAAAAATGTTGATACGCTTGGAAGCATTTTCTTCTTTGGTCTCCTTTTAGGTAACATTAGCTGGAGGTTGTTAAAACATGGAGTACCAGGCACTAAGGAGGCTAATCCAGGAACTGGGTGGTACTCTGCACTTTCACAGGTTGACTTCAGTCCCTTTCTTCTGCAAAAGCAGAGAGCAGGTCATTGACAAGGAGTTGATGACCCCGGTCTGAGGTACTTTAGGCTACAGAAGAAAGAATGATTTATGATGTGAGCTATAAATAATCTTTTTACCAAAGTAGTTGTTTTTTAGGATGAATTCTCTTTTGTGTTCAGTCATCAAAGTCTTGGAACCTAGAATTATAAAAGGTCACCTAAATGTTTTAGGGCAGGATAAGTATTTTGGGCTGTTGCCTGTGCTTTGTGTCATCATGCTCCTTTTCTTCCTGGCTCTCTTGGATCTTGTTGAACAAATTACTAAAAGTAATCAGTAATACTCAGAAATCATTTTGGCTAATTTCTGAGCTCTTTGAGGTGAATTTCATTAGACACTGTTGTCCCAGAGGCTTATAACTTTTCAGAGTTGTCTATAACCTCTAACCTCTGTCTGCCTTTTCTACCATCTTCAAGTGAAAACAGAATATACTGACTGTAGCACTCATTATTTTCTTTCCTTTCCTGTTACATTGTGGTTTTATCTCTTGTCTCCTGCTTACTCCTAATATGCGTGTAGGATTTTTTCATTTATGCTTCTAAGTGGGAACCCATTTTGTACCATAGCCTTTTTTAACTTCATATTTATACTATTCTGTTAACCCAATATTACGCTTTTTTTAAAAAAAATTTTTTTTTGTTTGTTTCCTGCATCTTCATTTGTGCCTTTACTTGGTTATCTTGTCAGTTTTATTTGTCATTCCTTTACCTCTTGCCTCTCATGGAAACTTTCTAGACCTGCATTGATTTCCTCAGAGATAGTTCTAACACTCTCTTTTCAATTCTGTCCAAATTTTCTGTGTTACTAAAGACTCCCAGTTGATCAGAAACAAAATAATACTTTTTCTTCACTCCTGAAACAAAACATGACTGGCTATGTTTGGGGATTTTTAAGCTCACAAGCTGGCAAGTTTTTGGAAGAGTGCAGTGTATCAGGATACAATTATCCCTCTGTAGTCCTATCACTCAGCTTTACCACCCAGCCTTGTCCTTGTGATTGCTCAGCAATACAGCTCTACCTTTATTCCTCTTTTGTTTGAATGTCTTGACATTGCTTTCGTTTTTCTTCTGTTTGATTTCCACACTACATGTTCAACAGGTCTGAACTTTGGAATGAGGCGGAGTGCATCACATGCATCACACTTTAGTAACAGGTTTCTGTTTTTAAAGGAGCATTCCTGTCTCTTTTATATCACTGCATGCTTACAGTGTCAGATATGATGCCAAATCTAATATGGAGCATGTAGAAAAATGTGTATTCTTCCTGTTTTAAAAAAAAAAGCAGGTCTAACGTGGTCAAAGTTCCAGACAGCAGTTTGTCTAAGAGAACAACAACAGATGTCTAAAGAAAGAATAGATCAAGTAGATGGTAGTGCTTCCCTAGCAGACTTTTCCAGCTTTCCATAAAGAAGTCTGTAACTTATTTATTGTGTACGACTGTATCATACATTCATGCCTGTTTGGTAGGTAACCCATTACTCTTCCCTACTGTTGTTCTTATAACAATTGCAGTTTCTATTCTAATCATGGTGGTTGGTTAATTTAATATTTTATTTTTATTATTATTGTTGTTGTTATTATTATCTTACATTTTCATTAGTCCTCATTTAGCTGATAGATTAATAGTTTCTTCCTAATTTATTCAGAAACAAAAGAAAGTCCTGTTAGGAAATGCCTTTTACTTTATGTGGTGACGAGAAACTAATATCAACTTATTTTTTTTAAGCCTGTCTAAAAAAAGGTAACTGTAGAGTTGCTCTGTTCCTGCCAAGTTTCCACAAGAAGCAGGTTATTACTAAGGAACTGTCAACTGTTGAAAAAAACATTTGTAATGGAAACAGTGGTGGTTTAACTGTAATGCTTGTGGGCCCTTTCAAACAGTGTGGCTTTTCCATCTCCTGACTTTCAAACTTCCCGAGTTCCAGTTCCTTGCTGCTACCTTGCTTTAGTCATCACTGTCTATATAGTATATATATATGTATGTATGTATATAGTAGCTTTGGCAACACTGTTGTTCATACTACAAATATGTTGCTCAGGGTGGTTCACCAGAGTGTTGTTTCTAGCCTGATACACAAAACAAATGTAAACCTAAATCTGTGGGTTCCTTTTTGGTTTTGGTGGCATACATTTCTCAGGGGCATCCAAGTTATGACTGGTGTAGAACAGTTAAAGAAAACCTACACTATTTTCACTAGAGGAGCAATAAGAACATCTTGATTTAAGTGAATGGTAGCACATATAAATAGATAGAATTTGAAATCTGTCCAACTTTATAAATCGCTTGAATATTTTCAGGTCCCACATCTATGCTATTTCCTGTCACTTTCTTGCATTAGTCATTTTTTCCATGTTTCCTTTTTCTCCTCACTAGTGGGGAAAAAGGAGGGAACAACAAAGTTGTCAGAGATCATGAATGAAGAGAGGTGATCAAATTCTGTAGCTTGTTCCTGCGTAGAAGTGGTTTTAGATAGGAGTACAGGCCTTTAATCTTGGTGCTCATAGGGTTTGGTGCTCACTTAGAGTTGTTGAACACGATCATCTGTCCAAGCTCAAGTGAGCAGTCGTTCTCCCAGCTTTTTAATCTTTAACATTGCATCAGCTTTGATTTCTTAAAAATGACACTACTGAAAAAATCTTTATCACCTCTATTTAGTGCCTTCTGAATGCCTTTGCTTTGCAGTTCTAGGAATTTCTGTCACCTAACATGTCCTGTTACCAGTAACTGTTTCTAGAGCTTGCTTTTTTAGGAACACATGTAGCAATTTACTTCTGTATATGTTTCACAACATGCATCTAAAATTCTTATGTTTCTTGTTTCAGAAGTACTATGGAACCTCTGCAGCCCTGTAGATTTGGAAGGCTTAAATCCAAGTTTGGAAAGGCTTTTTCCATTCCAGATGATTTGCTGGCTTAAGCGCTTAATTAGGATGGCTTTTGAACAAGTTGGATTAAACATGGACTCAGTAAGTGTTTCAAACTTGCTTCATGTTTTCAGAAAATCAAGTATAAAGAGCACTTCATGTATTTTAGTTTTTGCCTATCTGTTCCAACAGAACACTTTCAGTATTCTCAATACTTGTATGATTCTACATTGCTGAAAAAGTATGAAGTTTACTACTTGAACACTGAAGTATTGAGTAAAATATGTGTTAAAAATACCATGCAGTTCCTTCCAGCTCTAATAGCCAACTGTTTACTTTGTAAACACTGCTTTTCATGCTGGACTTCTGTGTATGTTTTGAAACTAAAGGAAAATCTTCAACTGATTTTTAACAGTGATGTTAATTCTGAAATAATCTTCTGTCTTTGCTCTTACCTTGGAGATATGAAAACGATGAGAGAGGAATGTGCATGCATAGCTCTCCTCTTGGAGGAAAGTGTATATAGAGTTTTCTTTGAATGCTTAGCAGAGAGAGATCTGCTACACATCAACTCCTTTGTCACTGGAACCTTTATTTTGAGTACAAGTATTGACCTCAGTGCAGTAATCACTGTAAGTTGTTGAAATATTTCAACAATGGGGAAATCCTTAACATCCATGTGCAGTACTTAGAAAGGCAGTTCTTACTCTGGATTACTGTGGTAGAACCTTTTATCAGTCTTGGGAATCTATGCAGAGCGAAATGTTTATACATTGTAAATTAAACTTACCAATAGGTTATTTTGTAGGTTATTATAAAATAGGTGGTTTAGGATTTTATTAAAATTTCAATCTGAGTTTTCATGCAGTGGAACTTTGAAAATTCAAAGTATGAGAATATGCTGGACTACCACGGGTGGTGTTGTGGTCATTGTCCATTCTCAGCAACACCTTGAAGCCTAAATGGGGCGCAGAAAGGCCAGTTTTAGATGTTTCCCCCTATTTTCTATGTGTATCAAGTTAGTGATAATGCAATTGCATTTCTAAATGTCAGCTGCTCTGGAAAACATCAGAGCACTGATGCAATAAGAGGGTATGACTAAGTAGTATTTTGCAGACTTGCTCTGCCAGTGCTTCAAGTCAACAAGAGGTTGTGTGAACTTGGGTAGAGCAGTGCTGAGACTTAATAGCTCAGCTGAGCAGTGTGCTGACTTTATTTGTATACCTTGTGGCACAGCTTGCGTGCAGTTTTCTGAAAACATTGTCCCAGCATATCTTGAATTACCAAAACCGAGTCATTAAAAGTTTTGGTGCACCAAACCACTGTTGTTGAACAACCCCAAGGGCAGTTGGGCACTAAATATTTTTGAGGACCTGTATGCTAGTAGCGTCTTGTCTGTGGTCTGAGCAATCTGTAAACAAGTTTTGGCACTTTTTAAAATGCACTGCACTTACATTGGTAATAAAGCACGTAGTGTAAGCTCTGTTGCTGTTGTGGAAGTACTTCTGTAATTAATTTTTTTCCAATGCAACATCCCTTTGAGGCTATCACCAACAGTTCTGCTTCTAACATGAGAATCCGTTGTAAATACTCAGGCTTTATTACTGCAGTACTGTTTGTCTGTGACTTTTTCTTGAAGGCTGCTGATCTACCTGCTGTTTGCTCAGACATACCGACAAACAGTAATGTCACAGTCACAAATGTGAGGTCTGTCTTTGAGGCATCCAGAATGTAGAATCAGTAGAGTACTCTGCATTGAAATAAATTGTGTTCAAAGTTAGCAGCATATTAAGCAAGAATGTATGTTTCATAGAATGGAAACATGGGTCAGAGTGGAATAATGGCAAAGTTGTAGCTCTGATGTGAAGATCTAGCACAGCATGTAGCTCTGATGTGAAGATCTAGCACAGCATGTTGTGCAGTGCACGTTTATTTTGTCAAAATTTATACATTCCAATTAAAGTTACTTGTTTAGAAATAGGCAAGAAGTTTGTGTGAAGTTTCTGAGTTAACATAATCTGTGGGTACATACTATAAAGCATAGATGTTTCCTTTTTAAAAGAATCTTCAAAGTTTAAGAGTGATCTTTGTTTAGTACATCAAAATGCTATTCTGCTGCGTGTTGTGAAAGTCCCACAGCTGCACTGCACTACACAGGCAATATTGCCATGCCAGATGAGGGTTGTTTAAGCATGAATAGCCTGGCTTTTTCTTTGTTGGGCAACCTTCTAACAAGATCTTGAGTTTGCTTGAAGCTATGAGCCTTTAAAAACTGAGGTCTGAGGAGTAAATTCATATCTACAGCCATAAGTAAACACTGGCCTATTTTTTTTAATTACCATACAGTATTCTAATTGTTTACTAACAACATCCTCTGTTAGAGTTTTCCTGCTATTCTTTTTCTTTGTATTGTTTGTGTTTCCTTTGCCTGTGCTGAAATCTTTTGCAGTTCTCTCTGTTTTGTTTTGGTTTTGTTACTTGGTTTTGGTTTTTTGTTTTGTTTTTTTGGTTTTGTTGGTTGTGGGTTGTTTTTTGTTTTGCTTCTCTTCTGGCTCATTTTGTAGTATTCTCCTAGGGTTAAAGTCTATTTTTATTTCATACAGCTATGGTAAATAGTAGAGCAAACATTGCCATCATTCAGTACAACAAAAAAAAGCAAATTCCATCTCTATTGAAATAATATAGAAGAAATCTGAATTGCAGTTGAAAAAGTTCTGACAAAGCCAGGTGTGTTGAGGTGGTGTGGGCAATTTTCTCTAGGTGTGTATGGTTTTAAGAACAAAGCTTCATTCTTATATATTTATTTTCCCCCTTTTACTTTTGTTTGTTCTTTGGTTTCACAGTTACATTTTCATGCTTATGTATGTTAGCTGGTAGTCATTTTTATTAAGCCTGGTAGACAATATTCTTGTGTTAGAAGAGCTCTCAATTAAAAAAAAAAAAAGATTGTTTGGGAAATGTAAACTGCATGATTTTTCATGATTGAGTGGCTTTTCTTGAAACCCCTTAAAAAGAGGTGTCTGACCCAATGCAGGTTCTTTATTGTCTCAAAGATGGAAAAATGCTTCCAACTCTTGAATCCTTCTCTGTTACCTGATTTATTGCTTTGAATTTAAACTTAATGCAAAGGCTGTCTTGAACTTAAACAGCCATAGCCATGTCATGGTGACAAAACAGAATTTTGTGCCAGTTCAGGTATAGAACGTAAGGAGTTCACTTATGCAAACTCCAGTGTATATATATTGTGTAAGAAGGACAGGGAGCTGTTGGAGCAAGTCCAGAGGAGGGCCGTGAGGATGATAAGGGGGCTCAAGCACCTCCCATATGAGGACAGGATGAGAAAGTTGGGGCTTTTCAGCCTGGAGAAGAGAAGGCTGCGTGGAGACCTCATAAAGATTCTGGAGAGGGATTCTTCAACAGGGACTGTAGTGATAGGACAAGGGGTAATGGCTTCAAACTTAAACAGGGGAAGTTCAGGTTAGATATAAGGAAGAAGTTCTTTACAGTGAGGGTGGTGAGGCATTGGAATGGGCTGCCCAAGGAAGCTGTGAATGCTCCATTCCTGGTGGTGTTCAAGGCCAGGCTGGACAGAGCCTTGGGCGACATGGTTTAATGTGAGGTGTCCCTGCTTATGGCAGGGGGCTTGGAGCTAGATGATCTTAAAGTCCTTTCCAACCCAACCCATTCTATGATTATAGGCTACACTAGCATGAAGGGAATAATTTTAAATATGTTTAGCACAAACATACTATGGAAGGATAAGGGAAGACTGTTCCAATATGACACAAAAATCAGTTCCCTAACAACTGGCTTTTTTTTCCTTCCCATGCAGGTGCTTTGGTCAAGCAAGCCTTATGGTTCATCTCGAAGTATCGTACGAAAAATCGGTACGAACCTCTCTCTTATACAGTGTCCAAGGGTTCAGTTTCAGGTGAGTGTTCTCAGAAGTTTAGAATACACGTTTCAGTATTCTGATAAAAGGATTTGCTTTTGTGTCAAATGCAGTTCATTTAAGTAAATTACTAGGGGGTTTGTAAAAGCAGACTAAAATAAACCAGGTACAGAGATAAATTAGCTTACTTCAGTTCTTCACACTTCAGGTTTTTTCCAAATAATGGGTTCTTCAACTTCTATACTGCCTAAAACCATGTTGCTGTAACACATGTAATGAAACTTTAAACTAATTTTTTTTCCTTGAGAAAATTGAAATTTCTGAAATGAGGCAGTACAGTATTAAAAAGTTATTATTGGGAAAAATATAGTAATAAAAGAGAAAAATGTTTGAAACATTTGTATCAAAAGTACTTGTAAGTACCTATAACTTAGGCGTAAGAGACATGTAAAGATGAACAGTGTTACTTAAATATTTGAGGAAAATAAACTTTATCAGAAAGCAAAAAATTGGTAACAAGAGAACACAAGCACTGTGTTTGCTTTTGTTGCAGATACAAGTCTAACACTGTATAGGTGAAAGGGGAACATCAATTCTGTGCAGCTTTCTGACTTGTTTGCTTTTAACTTCAACTACATTTAGTGGGAGGGTAAAAAATGAGGGTAAAAGCTTAAGGAGGAGAAAACCCTTGCTTTTTTTAACAAGTCTTTCAGGAACAGATGGGAAAGTGGAAGCTGTTACACATAATCTCTTCAACTCTGTGTGTGTTAGGAATAGGGGGTGGCTATAGAATTGGAGAAATTTAGTGTTTGAAGCTCAAGCTGAGAGGAATGTTTCTTGGGTCAAACAAGGGAGCGCAACATGAAGATGGATGGAGGGAATCATCACCTACACTAAGACAAAGTGGTTTTCTTTCAGCCAAATTTGTCACTGTTTAATTTCTTTATCCTGTATGAAATATATGAACAATATTTAGACTTGAAATTATAGTAGCAAAATCAGATAGTTCAGATTACCACAGAAGCCTTTTTGGTGTGGCAGTAAGAGCCATGCTAATGTTTTGCCTCTCTGAAATAATCACATTGAGGAACTAGGGGGGCAACCACCTCCCACTACTGGTAGCTTGGTGAAACCAAGAACATAAACATATACATTGTGGGGGTGAGTGTTTGTGCAGGTGAGAAGGACAACAAAATGACATGCTGGATTTAAACTTTTGGATATATGATTAATAGTAGTTATGCCAGCAATAAGGCTCCATATGCCTCAGATTTCAAAAGAAGTGAAGTCCTCCTATAGTGTTTCTCATTTTCTGTACTGTAGAGGACATACAAGGGAAGATGGTGCTCATCTGCAGATTGTTAGCCAAATACTGCCTTCTTTTAATATGGCACATAAAATAAGACATTTCTGGTTAATTTTCTTGCAAAGAGCTGTAAGATGCATCTAAGGAATCTGTTCCTGTGTATCTTTAGTGTTGAAATAAAAATGTGTGTATGTTTTCAGCTGAATTCTGTGTTAGAATAAATAAAATATTTGGCTTTTTTCCTCTTGAAGAGACATTTGGTCAGCTTTGCATAGATTTTATGCACACGAAGTATAAACATTAATCTTCTATTAGATTAAAAGATCCCAAAAGTAGGACAGTTGTCAGGCTTGATTGAATTAGAAAAGTGAATTTCAAAATTTGAGCCTTGAAACACGCTAAAATTCATATGGTTTATGCAGGCTTTAAACTATTTTAATATATAAACTGTTGAACATGTACAGGTGTGATTCTAACATCTGTTCTTTTTGTCTTTATCTCAGCATTAGGATTCTATAGTGAAGTTCAGTACTGGTCTCAATCGTTTTTATGCTGTTGCAACTGATGCTTTCCTATAGCTGTCTCTTCCTCTTTCTTTCTTTCTTGCCAGCTGTAACTATATTATGAAAGGACCATGCACTGGACATTGTTGTAAGTCATTTTATTTAAAAACCAAAGCAAATCCTACTTGCCTCATCTGAGGGTTCATGTCTATAATCAGTGTTTCTAACTTTATCTAAAAGCAACAAACTTCTCGCACATCTTCATTTTCTTCATGATAAATTGATAAGAGATATTGAAAGAATATCTCTGTTACATTCATTCTTCTCTTCTGGCATGCTTTTTGTTCAGCTAGTCTGAAAAAAAAAAAAGGATAGTGGCCTAACATTTTGATTTTTTGAGTTCTATTGACTGTTGTAGTATCTGTCTCTATGGATTTTGCCAGTCAACATTTAAATTAACTGCTAAATGCTGCTTATGTATTCAGTAAGCGCAGACAGAGCTTGCCTTCTGTATTTTACATGACATGAACAAATGAAAATGGCTCGTATGTTTCTTTTGTATGTCATATTTTTTAGGTTTATCTAGTCTGTAGGAGAAAATAAACCTACTAATATAGCCTAGGTAAATTCAACAAAACATACAATACTGTCACTCAAGATAGTATCCTTCAGCTACAGCTCATCAGGAATTGGTGGGCATGTAGCAAACATCAGAATTTACTGGGCTAATTTTAAAAATCATAGCAAGTTTGTCTTGAAGTATTTTCAAACGTTTAATATCTAACTGTATCAGTAATTTGAAATTAGAGCTTTTATTCTGTCCTTAAATGTATAAAAATGTTCGTTGTACTTTCTGCTTCCTAGGGCAAACAAAAAGTAGGCACCCTGCCTCAGCAGCCTCCTAAGTACTGTTTCCATAGTGTAGTTATCACAGTCACCTAACACACAAAAGTTCCCTGGCTTAAAACCAGGCAGAAACATTGGTGAGGCTGACACCTTCTCTGGGAGTTGGACTCGATGATTCTTTATGTGTCCCTTCCAGCTTGAGATGTTGTACAACATCAGCTAAAACAGTACAGTATGTGTAGTCTTTTCTTCAGAAATTTTTAATGGGTCTGAAACCCGCGTGTGTGGGTGCAGCACACCCGCACACTGAGGTAGGCAAAAAAGCCCATAAAAGTAGAAGCAGGGGAAGCAACTACATAGTTTATTTCACTATTATTTCATTCAATTCCTGCCATCCAGTAGACTTGGCCACTGTTTTCAATTGTCTGTTCTCCCTTTCTGGTACTGGCAAAGCAGTTGTTCAGGTTTTCTTCAGCTGAGATTGGCTGGAGGAATAGGGTAGTCAGAGTTGTTTAAGCATCATTCTATAGACAGGCGAAGGTTTTAAGAGATGGGCATTAGCTTTTTAACCTTTAAATCAAAGTAAAAATCTTGCATTAACTTGAAATTCAAAATCCACTGCTGTGGAAGGCCTTGTCTTTAGGCATAGAGGAAAGAAACATCTGTATATGGGATAACAAGCAGATTCTGTTTACATATAAATATGAATAAAAAAGTAAGAAGAACCTTGCATCGCAATATAACAGAAGGTTTGCTACTAAATGCTGGATTAGAAGTTATTTATCTCACAGTGCAGGAAACCTGGCAGTGATAAATGCATTCCTTACTGTTGATTTATAAAATTATTTTTGATGCAAGTGTGTGTAGTGCCTTTATTTTAATGTGGCTTCAATCTTTCCATGGCAATAGTTCCTCGTGGCCATTGCCATCAGGAAAATCTGTATCACCTGCAAGAAGTGGTTAATGTCTTGTGGATATTTTCCATTGCCATTAACATGAATACAGATGCTGTGGTCATGAAAATTTCTTTTTATTTTAAAAAAGAAAAAAGCTAAGGAAACCTCAATGACAACCCTAACATGCAATGTAGTATTCTCTAGACTGTTTTAAAGAGAGGCAGACTGTGATAGTATTAGGCACAACTGTTAATGTGATAAACATATTACCATCTGTGCTGATGCTACCTGGAAAAAACCCTGTTGTTTCCAAATGATCTGATGGTGCCAATGCACACTCCTGGGAGCTGTGATAAAGGCTCACATACAAGTTGTGAGAGTGTGAGGTGAAGATGAGTAATCTTAATTTCCAAAGCTGTTTGTAACAATTCCTGGGGAAAAAACAACCCCAAGCCCACAGATTACATGTTCCTGGGACTTTTGTATCAAAGGCTACAACCAAAATATCTGTGGATGTTCTTCAGAAATGGTTTCGCCTCACCCAGACTGCAGTCCTACTGTGATAGCTCTGCTAAAAATTCAGATTAATGCTAACATTTCATAGTTGCTGCTACGTAATAGTTTTCTCTTACAGAGGTGAGTTGCCTTGAAAATTGACCTAAGTGCTAGCAGGTTGGACCCAAGCTGTCTTCACAGACTGGCTGGTTACATACTACCACCATCTTTGTCAGTATTAGTAGCTTCTTGGCCACTACCAGCAGCAGGCAGCACTTGAACAGCTGCAATGACTCCTGTGCAAGTTTGGCCTGTGGATTGTATGTAATGCAAGCAATAGAAGTGGCATGATTGCATCAGAGATAAGTAACTCCAGGTGACAGAGTGAGCAGAAGACATTACTGAAAGATATTTCTTCTTCTTAGCAGTTTTATGTGCCAAGATACTGCATCCAGTGACCAGGTACATTTGCCCTTGTTTGATCCTGGGAAGCTAGTATTTCAAAGTAGATTTGAAACTATTTTGTATAGTTGGAGCTTTGGAGCATGTACTCATGGTCCAAACAATTTTTCAAATCTCCATTCAGGCCACTTAACTGTAAATCCAAGAAAGGTTCCAGTCTCTGGAGCCTTGCTCACCTTTGGCTTCACATGGCTCTAAAGCTAATGGCAGAACTGTGCTGGAAAATGGTCCATTTGTTCAGCATGCTATAAGTAAGATTGTTAGCAAATAGTGTGTTCTGAGTGCATCCTACCTCTCACTCAACGTCTTTGTGATTATGAGCTAGTAGAAATAGCTTTTTGCCTTTTTTTTCTTCTTATTTTCCCCCGTGTAATGTATACACCATTATTCTTGTCCAGAAATTCTGGGAGTTGTAGGGGAAGGGAAACACACTTCAACAGCATTTCACTTTTAAAATAATACTGAATCAGAGCAGAAGACTTCAGAAGTACCAGTAGCCCTAATATCTTTTTTGACTGGTGGACATGAATATAACTGAAAAACATATTATTTGAGTTAATACAGCAACCTACTTGAGAATGTTGATGTTTTTTTGTGCTTAAGGTAACCATTTGCACTGGATGTTCAGTACTGTCATGTGATACTGTAAGTAGTTAGCTGTGAACCTCTGTGAAGTGTTCAGCAGACTAAATTGAGTAGTTTTAAGTTAGTGGTTCCAGACCAAGCCCAGGACAGAAATAAATATGCTAAGTCTACATATGTGTTTTGTGCATGTGTGTGTTTATAGTTACATGTAGCCTCACTAAAAGCACTAAGTAAAATAACTGACTTATGCTGGGAATAGTGACTCTAAAACCTTCAATCTTTTCTCTAAAATTTAGCTTACTCCTCATGCCAAAGAAGGAAGCCATTCTCATCAGCCTAGAGAAGAAGCAGTGGCCTCCTTTGCAGATGTGGGATGGGTTGTTCAAGAAGAAGGTGAACTCTCTACAAGGCTCAGGTATGCTCCTTAAATCTTCTTTTGGAACTTCTGAGCTGAGAGGAGGACATCTAACTTCTCTCCAGTGAGAATCTACTGTGCCTTGCAATTAATGGAGAGCACGTGATTGCTGAGAGAGAGGGAAGAGTGATGGGAAAGGTAGGGTCTGGAAAAGAAGTAGTAGAGGTTAGACTAACAGGATTATGAATGAAAGACTGGCTTGAGACTGTAGAGGAGATTTGCTTTGTACAAGGAAGACTATGGTTTTTATTTACTTATCTATTGTGAAGAATTGTCTGTGACAGCTTCAAGCAGCCTTGTCCCCACAAAAATGTCTGCTGTCGTATGGCACGTTTGCTAACACTGCTGCTCCAATTCTCCTGAGGTTTTCATTAATATGGGGTGATGTACTGTTCAGCTTCTAATGAGCAGCAGTGGTCATTCTGACATCCAGTAACCGGCACGCTGTTTTTCACCTTTCTGGTTAAGGCTCTGCAGTCTGCTAAAGACAATTACAAAATTACAGTTTATGTTTCATCTTTAATCTTCATAAGGAAAACTGGCAGGGAAGCATGTGAGCACCTGTGTCCAGAATGATGAGATGGGTACTGTTGTGTTGGACCAGCAGTACTACGTAGCACTGTAACTGCATGAAACAGGTTGGCTGAAGTGATGAAGTTCTCTGTTCCAGCCTACCCAAATTGCTGCTCTGACTATCCAGAAGCAAAGGTCCAGTTCTGCAGTGCAGAGCAAGTTTTTGTTCTAAACAAACTAACCTTCCAGAGAAAGTCACAGACAGTTGGCTTCAGAGATTACTGCAGGATACTCTTCTTAATTTAACAGCACAAAATAGGTTAGTAATGACCTAGATGCCCTCTAACATGACTTGCCACAGTGAAGCTTTGAATAACAAACATTCTGGCACTGCCACATTAATTTCACAAACTCGGAGGGGAGTCACAGAAATCAGCGCTTGTTGGGGAAACGCTGTTTGTAGAGTCTATTTGATGTGAAGGAAATTAACCGGCCAATACTACTTTTGTTTGCACAGAAACACTTTGGGGATTGAACTGTAAAGCTATTATGCTTAATGGAGACAACAGGGAGAATAGCTCTTTGGTGCTTCAAAGAACCTATTATGAAAGATGTAGGACTTGCGTATTTGCTGAGATGTCTGCATGTGAAAGGGGGAAGGGGGACAGATGGATGTGGGATGGGACTAAAATAATCCTGCAGATATACAGTGACCTTAAGGCAAACGGCTTATAATGGAGCATGGTAAGTGAATTACTTAGCAAATACGAGTATTTCAGTGTGCACTGTTTATTACATCTGTGCACACTATTGTGTAGTGGAGCTCATATGCATTAGGTGTTTTCCAGGCATCTGGAATTCTCTGTTTCATCAAGATCACATAGGTGTTACTGTTAAATATATGTTTACTGTATAATTCAGTAAACACTTTTGCAGACATAGGGTATTTTTCTGCAAATGCAGTTTTATGGAGGAAGCAATTAAATGACAAATCATTTTTCCCCAACCCCTACTCAGAGCAATAGTGACAATTCAGGCATAATATTTTTCCATGGTGTTACATTCCAGTCACAACGTTTCCTTAAAAGCCTATTATGCTTTGAGTGGAAGATAGCCTTTGTTGTTTAGCTATTCTGCTTGTTCACAGAGTTTCTGGAAGGCAGGTTTTAAAGAGTGAAGTGACCACTGGCTCCTTCCACCTTACTGATTTAGGGAGAGCTGGGAGCTGGCTGCTGTAGGAAGTATTTCCTTCTCAGTGTTAGTCTCTATTCCTATCTAGATAATAACACCTAAATTTTAACATTCTTGATAATATTCTATCCTGCTTGATCAAATTTCTGCGAGTTGTGCTGATGTTTTCTGTAAGCATCGTGGAAGACTCAGGTGTGTATTTCATCCCGGATTGAGGTGGTCAGAGCACAGGGCTTGTTCTAGACATAAATCTTGGTTCTTGCCAAGATTAGCACAACTGCAGATCTAACATGATGTACATCCAGAGAATCTTAGCTCATGGATCCAGAGTGATGTAGCTCTTAAACTGTGTTAATCTGGAGCCATTCTGCACATTCAGAAAAGTCCCATTACTAGCCACTGGTTTTACTCTCATGGCTGAATAAATAGCGAAATCCTGATGTGCCGGAGAAGTTTAGGGACTAAAGTTAAAGAAGGTTGAGGAGTTAAGTATGTGGTCATAGTTTGCAGTTTATGATAATCTGTTGTCATTAATCCTTATCAATCCTACTGAAGAGGATCATAGAATAGTTTGGGTTGGAAGGTGCCTTTACAAGTCATCTAGTCCAGACTCTCTGCAGTGAGCGGGGACATCTTTAACTAGATCAGGTTGCTCAGATACTTGAGAGAAACTCTTTGTTTCTCTCAACAACTCAAATGTTGGTGTCTTAGAGAACATAACCTTTTCTAAGTGCTTGTTTGACTACGTGTGCTCAGTAATGCCTCAGTGTTTAACATAGCTTGAGCTTTGTTGCTTAGTAAAGGAAGGCAACAGTTGAATTTTCTTGCTTTTGTGAGAAACAGGAGGGAAGCTTATGGGGCTCTTTAAAACGGTGTGAAGTTTCTCCTCTACTGTTGCATTTATTGTGGTAGAAAACTAGATAGAAGACCCTTTCCCATTTACTGATAAGCAGCCTCTGCATCACTAATCTGTTTCACATACTCTATAGTCCCAACACTGCTAAAACAGAGGACTGTCCCTTCATAAATCCAAAAAGTACAGACTAAGAAACACTTCCTTTTTCTTCAAATGAATCCACTATGAGTGGCTATTTATAGCCCATGGGGGGAAAAATGGTAGCAATTGGGGAAAAAAAAATATTGTATTAATTCCAACAAAAAATACAGTAGGTATGAGACAGAGAAACAGATTGGGGGTGGAATTCCTTCTTCCCCTGAAATCAGGGATTCCACAAAAGGCTGGGACAGGGAAGGCAAGAAATACAGCTAGTGATGCAAACGGCTTCTTACTTGAAGCTGTGTAATGTCTTGGTGGAAGTGATCTGTTGTGAAGTCAGTCCTTCAACCTCTGTTCCTGGTTTGTGTGTAATGCTGCGTTAGTTTTTATCTATTACAAAGACTTTAAAAAAGGAATCTTGTGATATTTTTGTTACAGGTCAGAAGTTTGGTCTAAACCAACCCAGCCTCTTTCAGGTGATCTACATCATTCTAGAAAGTCCCCATGCAGACAGATGTCCTTACAAAGCCCGTTGGAAGAAGAACCAGTGTCCAGGAGCATTGTGACCGCAAATGAAGAAGCTCTGCAGAAGATCAGTGCTCTAGAAAATGAACTAGCCACTTTAAGAGCACAAATAGCCAAAATTGTAATCTTGCAAGAACAGCAGAACTTGACAGCAGGTATTAAAGTTGCTGTACTCTTAGCAAAAAATAGTTAATGAATTTGTCCTTTAATAATTCATTTTGGTGAGATACTGTAACATTGAACACTTCTCCATATTGTTTTTGTTTGTTTGGTAGACAGGCGTAGCATACTAACCAAGGGACACAGTACAGGGCTTGAAGGCAAGAGACCTGACAGACTTCCTGCATTTTCTACTGTTCTAAAAGTCTTCATGTTTGTATGAAAGTCTGCCAGAATTCTGAATCTGTGGATGACTACAGAAGCATTAAACAGCTTTCAGAGCAAAGTTCACGATAAACATGATGGCTCAAACCAAACTAAAAGATTGTAACTTAATTACTAACACTTAAGTCTTCCCATCCAGTAATGAGGTAGGCTTTTTGATACCATAAAGTAGTCATACAAGATGTTAATAATGCTTTTGGAACATGTAATGTACATGTCAAGGTGATGAAATAAATAACAGAAAAGGAGATAGTTTACTGAAATAATCTCTGCAAAATCCAAAGATCAGCCCTTGTTGACTGCAGATGACAGATGTTTAGTTTTCACTCTTCCCTAAGGTCACTTACCAAGTACAGTTTTGCCTGTGCTTAAGTATAAAATCATATTCCGAGTCTTCAGATGCTTTGGTTTAGTTTTCATCTGTGAACTAATAACAGTTATTTTTCTTCAACTGTTCATATTCAAAACCTATGAAATAGTTGTAAGGATCACATGGTTTCACTCTCAAATTGTAATTATTGGGGGGGGGTTGTGAAATAACTAATAACTTATTTTTCATAATTCTCCCTTTGTTTATTAGGAAAAGTAAATTTTTATTTGATTTTATCATCTTTACCTCCCTCTTCTGGTGGAATATGGTAATGACACTGTGTGTATGCCTACATGTATGCAGAGTAGGCTCCTCTCTCCTATCTGTATACGTATCTTTATACACTAAATACTCCTATCCTCAAAACTCTGATTTGAATTGGTTTTCCTTATTTCTTTAAATTTGAGCAGAGGTTTCTTCATTTCTTTGTCAAGTTATCAATCGATCAGTGCTATGATATTTCTAACATCAGTTTTTATCTAAAGAGTACAGGGAACTTGAAATCAAGCTTATCATGAGAATCTCTTACCTTCAGACAGATAATTAGTTGGCCTAAAAATCCTTAACCTCAGAGAGCTGGAATAAGCTTCTCTTTAAGCACTCTTTGAGCTCTGAAGTTTACATCTAAAAATCTTGTGTGGTAACTTCTTATTTGTGATGACAAGTAGGAAGAAACGCTGCTCATATGGCAGATGGTGTGTGACTTCTGGCTCCATACCTGCCTCTCAGAAGAAGGTGAAATACTAGTAATATTAGAAGCAGAACATAACTAAAAAGGCATCATGATGTCTGTCCCATTGCAGTAAATATATGAACTTAGAATTTGAACTGGAAATCGAAGGAGTGCTTCTCACTTGGAGAAGGAATTTTATGTGGCGTTTCAGCTTGAGTCTACTTAGGTGGAATGAAGAAGTTACATGAGGATCTAAAGAAGGCAGAGTGCTGACCATTGAAGCTATGATAGTCATTCTTAACTGAGCATTTGTGAGAGATAAAGGGCACTTACTTACAAGTAAACTGACATGTAATGTGTGTTTTATTTGTAGTTGGGTCAAGTCCAGTTGCTTCAGCTGCTGTCCCTGCTGCGCCTCCACCAGCACCTCCTCCTCCTCCTCCACCACCACCACTCCCTCCCCCAGGTCTACCACAGAGCATGTCTGCAATTGAGCTCATTAAAGAAAGGAAAAACAAAAAAACAAACTCTGGACAGAATCTGACAGAAAATGGGCCAAAGAACTCTAAAGTACCAAACATGCTAGAAATCCTCAAAGACATGAACAGGGTGAAGCTACGTGCTGTGAAAAGGTAAAAAATACAAATAAATACCAATGTATTAAACATTTGCATTAATTGTTTTTATGACTTAGAATTGTTTCAAGGTGAAAGAGATGCAGATGTAACATCTGTAACATCTGCAAACAGGATGCAAATGCATTCACAACTTTTAAGCTTTGTTTTGGACTATATTAATGCTTCTCATTTGCTTTCCTAGATCTTCAGAGGATACAAGATGTAAAGCAGCTGACCCCACAGATCCTGCAGCACTGATTGCAGAAGCGCTCAAAAAGAAATTTGCTTATCGATACCGAAGCGACAGCCAAAGCGAAACAGAAAAAGTGATACCAAAGACTGAGACAAAGAGTGAGGGAGTGCTGGTGAGTATTTGGATTCTGAACAGATGCTTGGACTAAATCATAGTTGTCGTGAAAGCCAACGTATGTCTATGCCAACATACGCAAACACCTGTGAGTTAGCATCCCTCTCTGCAAAACCCCATGAAGTACTGCAGCTACACCAGGATTTGTGGCAATCACATGGTTCAGTATCAAGTCGTGAGGTTGTGTACTCTTTTGGCCCTAGGTTTAAAAAGCCCTGTTGCAGTTTTCTTACCTTTTTTAAACAAAAATATTTTCTGTTGCCACAAATATGCTCTGGTCTGAAAACTCGATTCCTAAGGGCTCACACCAGAATCAAATCTAAACTGAGTTTGCCTGTTTCTACCAACCTTAACCATTCAGACAGTACATGTGAAGTGTTGAAGCAAGATCCTGAAAATCAACCGTTCCTAGGAGTGCAGAAAGCAAATTGTTCAGAATGGCTGCTGGATGGTGGTATAAGGAGTTTCTTCTAGTAACTGGAAATGCTGAGTAAATAAAAGCAGTTTCTTTATAGCATAAGCACTTTAAAATGAAATTATATTTAAAATTCACATCACTTACAGGTTAATGGCTTCTAGTTTATTTCAGATTGATACAAAGCCAAAGGGGTTTTTAAGCAATGAATGTTCAAGATGTAAGTTTCTAGCAATACATACTTAACCAGGCTAGTATAGATCAGTTTTGTTAATAAGCAGCCCCTGAAGCCTTGTGGTATAGAACCAGAGAGGAGGAGTAATTTTTGCCTTTGGGCATTTGAAAAAACACACATAAAATTCCAAAAGCTGGCTGCATTCTAAATTAAGCTCTGAGGAAAATAAGATTCCCAAGCCACAGATCTCAGGACTTCTGAGTACTTCAGTTTATTAATGCTGACTGACTTGCCTTCTGGGTTAGGCCTTTAAAAAGTGTTTTTCCTGTAACGACCAGGCTGTTCTTCATAACAGAAAGTCTGGATATTCCCCAAGAATCAATCTTTTCTTTTCCCCAGCATCTCTGGGGCTTTAAGGAAAAGAACAGCAGTTGGCAATGTTTTGTTACTTTCCAATTTGGAATATACAGTCCATCTTCTGAGATTAAGGATCATCAAGTCCTCAAAGGCTAAGAAAATCAAAGCTTTCAACTTGTTAAATGGTAGAAAGTTGATCCATAATGAGCTAATGAACATCTGTCCTTAGTTGCAGTTGCTTACGAATACATAACTTCTTTGCTAGGTCACTCCTCACATGATACCCTTGTATAATACAGTTTTCAAAAGGACTCACACAAAAATACAGGATAAAGTAAGAACAGAAATACTGTTAAACTGCTGACAGAGCAACTGGTTGTCAACTTTTAAACATAACTGCCTCTATTTTTGTATTTTGCGATGGTAAAGCAAAATATCTCTAGCCAGAGCTGCTCCAGCTGCCCCATCTGAGCAATTTCATCTCGTTGCTGACACGTTTCCCTTTACTCTGTGGCTATGAAGTGGGTGAAATGCACATGCAGAGAAGCAGGCTGATAAAAGAAATTGCGTCTGTCCAAGTTCCAGTTTTACATACAGCTTGGGTAGGCTTCTGCTGAAAGCAAATCTGAACATGTTTCTGGTTTCCTTCTCAGTTTGGACCGCACATGCTGAAGTCTACAGGAAAAATGAAGACTTTAATTGAAAAATCTTAACGTATTAAGATCACTACACAAAAGACTCTTGAAGAGTTTTGTCTGGAATCTTTTATGTTGCAAAAAGCATGAGTACGGAGTCGTCTCTTACATCACAGGAAAAAACCTAATGTGAAATGTAGAATGGAGGCACTAAACATATTTGTATGTAATTTATCAAGGTGAATAAATTTGACTGTTATACTCAGGTATTAATTTTGTATCCAAACCTGGCCTTCTGCTCAGACTTATGTGGTGGTTTTAGGTTATTAACACTAAGTTATATATACAGCATTCTTTGTGCATAACTGACCACCTTAAACATTTGTGTACATGTTATAATGATAAAGATACATCCTTAAATTAATATCGGTAACTTGCACTACAGTGTATAGTTTGATACTGAGTTTTCGTATCAAACTCTTTCTTTTAAACTTAATTTTAGCAAATGTTTTGGCCCAAAGAAAACCTGAATGCCTTCTGCTGCCTACTGAAAAACAGCAAAAACTTGAATCTGCTGCAGAGGTCACCTGGTGTGAGACATTTTAGGTAGAAGCACAGTTTTGTGCAGGTTTTTTCTTTTTGTTTCAAATGATCTTGCAAGTGTGAGAGAGCGAAGCCTCCTTGTGTCACCCTGTGGCCAATGCATGACAAGCACAAGTAAATCTCACTGTGGAAACCAAATGAATTTGAAATAACCAGTAGGTAGTAGCAGTGTAAATTAATGTCAGAGTATGTGTTATCTACACTACTTAAGTGCAAGTTGCCAAAACTATATTGCTCATCTCAGCTGTGCCAAGAGATGCTCATGGACGCGTTTTTGGCCCCAGCTGTCTTAGGCCCGAAAATGGGTTTCTAGCACCTGGGGACTGCACAAGCCCCCACGGTCCGATTTGCAGGGAAGATACAGTGCAAGCCATTGCACAGAGCCTGCTTTCCAGGGGAAGCCCTTTCGGAGACTTCCCCCAGCCGGA